CACTCTTTCATAACAAAAACACTCAGCTGGCTAGGAATGGAAGGGAACTTACTCAACTTGATTAAGGGTATCTACAAACTACAGGTTAATAATACTCAAAGGTAAAAGGCTTGATATTTTCTCTCTTAACATCTGGAACAAAGTAAGAATGTCTGCTGTCACCACTTTTATTTAACATTGTACTGATGGTCTGTTCTAGTGCATTATAAGGCAAGAGAAAGAAATGAAAGGGAAACACACTGGAAAGGAAGAAGTAAATTGCACTTATTTGTAGACAGTATGGTAGTATTTGTAGAAAATTCAGAAAAATAAAAGCTGTTAGAAATAATAAATGAAATTATTAAGGCTATAGAATAAAAGGTCAACATAGAAAAAGCAATTGTATTTCTAAATACTAGCAAGAAAAATTAGAAAATGAAAAAAATTTTAAACTTCCATAATAGCATAAAAGAATACTTAGACATAAATTCAATTAAAGATTTGCAAGACATTTTCACAGAAAATTACAAAACACTGCATTGGAAAATTGAAGACCTAAATAAATGGAGAGCTATACCACGTTCATGGATTGGAAGACTTAGTTTATTAAGATGGCAATTTCTTCCAGATTGACCTACAGATTTAATGCAATTCTAACAGATTTTGTCTTAAGAAATCTGCAAACTGATTTTATTTATATGGAAATAAATGATCCTTTATCTGATAGCACAAGTGCCAAAAAGTAAAAGCTTCATACTACTGCTCCTGAGATTTATTATTTAAGCTACAAACTGTGCCTATCATTTCTTAAAACAGAAACTTACCTATGATCTGGGAACAGTTTTTGCCTTTGAAAGCTTTTTCTTGGAACATCTGTTGGACCATAATAAAGAAACTGAGTATGTCAGTGATGGACTTCCAATGGCTAAACAATACATTTTAAAAGTGTGGCAAAGTTTTGGGGGATCATATACTTTATAGATAAGATGTGTGCAGAGAATTAAAATTTAACCATAGTTTAAAAGGATTTTTTTTTTTTTTTTTTTTTTCCTTGCGTTATGCGGGCCTCTCACTGTTGTGGCCTCTCCCATTTGCGGAGCACAGGCTCCGGACGCGCAGGCTCAGCGGCCATGGCTCACGGGCCCAGCCGCTCCGCGGCATGTGGGATCTTCCCGAAACAGGGCACGAACCCGCGTCTCCTGCATCGGCAGGCGGACTCTCAAGCACTGCGCCACCAGGGAAGCCCTAAAAGGATTTTTAGTCAGTTTTCTTACAATCGTCTTCTCAGTCTCCCTTTCTCCTCCCCATCCTCCTCCTCCTTCTTCTTTGTTAATATGCCTCCAAATAAATGCTAGTATATCTTGAAGTAAAGATGGGGCTTATGTATTACTCTGGAATAGACTTTGTGTTGATTTTATATTTTATAAAAGAGAAATATTTGCATCATTACGATTCTTTATTAATGGGAATTTTTTCTTGTTTTTGTAGGGAAGAATGGACAGAAGCTATCCAGGCTGTAGCAGACAGACTCCAGAGGCAAGAAGAGGAGAGAATGAATTGTAGTCCAACTTCACAAATTGATAATATAGGAGAGGAAGAGATGGATGCTTCTACAACCCATCATAAAAGAAAGGTAGAAAAGAACATCTTACTCCCCTCCTCAGCACAACATTTATATGTGTAGAAGAAATATGTTAACAACTGCCATTTGCAAAAACTGTTAGCCAGTTATCTTATGATATGCTATTATATTGGTGTGGATGGTTTTTAATCAGGTGAACTTAAACCTGTCATTGTTTAAAACGAAATAATTGAAACATCACTTTATTTCAGTGTTTCAGCAATTACCACTGAATGCTGAAAGGGCTTGTTAGGAAGTTGTGATTGATGTGCCATCATACTACTTTATAATTTGCATTTTTCCCTTATTGTTTTTAATACTATTTTAGAAACTTGGAAATAAAGTGTTTCCCCTAATATGGTCCTTTTCTATTTGGCATTCTGTGTTCTTCTGAAAGCAGAAGGTGAAATGGCTCTGGTATACTTCCTGCTTGGTGCCCCAGCCTCA